AAAAAAAAAAAAAAAAAAAAAAAAGGAGCCAAGTGTAGTGGCATGTGCCTATAGTCCTAGCTACTCAAGAGGTTGAGGTGGGAGGACTGCTTGAGCCTAAGAGTTCAAAGTTATGGTGAGCCCTGATTGCACACTGCACTTTGGCCTGAGCAACAAAGCAACATCTTGCCTCTATCAAAAATAAATTAAAAAACAAAAACAATGAAACTGTAAAGTTATATTTCTTAGTTTATGTTCCAGATATGAATCTAATTATATACCATGTAAATAATCTTACCTCTCCACTTTATCTGCAGATGTAGAAGGAGCAGGAACATCTTCAATTCTGCAATAAAAAAATTAAGGAGAAAAAAGGTAAAACTGGAGACAATTATTAAGCCTGAAAATAAATTCAGAAAAATATAAAGGAATAAAAAAGCTGTCATTTATTAAATACCCAAGTATTATTTACTTACATTATCAAATTTAATTCTTATTCAAATATCCAGGGCTGAAAATAAGTAGCAACTTCACAGCTATAACCACAGGGATGAGGAACAACTTAAAGGGCAGTGCTTTCAGCTACAGGTTGTAAGCTATCTGGGCCATTTGCCTAGAATCTTGAAATGGTCTTGGATCCTTATCTACAAACTCTGTCACAGCCATTTATATCAAATAGTTTTATTAAGGGGTCATTCTGACCAAACGGTCTAGCGCAGAACCTTTCAAACTACCTGTGGTTAAAGGACTAGGTCTTTTATTGCCATTCTGTAACACATAGGTTTTTTAAATACAATGTCAGGGAGATGTCACAGCGAGACTCCATCTCAAAAAAAAAAAAAAAAATACACTATAACTAAAATATAAGACTCTGAATTGAATACCATTACAAGCAAGGAACCAGTAAAAACACTATTAAATAACATTGTAAAGCACTTATCAGTGATAAATTTTCTTTTCTCTTTTTTTTTTTTGAGATGGAGTCTGGCTCTGTCGCCCAGGTTGGAATGCAGTGGCGCGGATCTCGGCGCATTGCAAGCTCCACCTCCCAGGTTCATGCCATTCTCTTGCCTCAGCCTCCTGAGTAGCTGGGACTACATGTGCCCACCACCACACCTGGCTAATTTTTTTTGTATTTTTAGTAGAGACGGGGTTTCACCGTGTTAGCCAGGATGGTTTTGATTTTCTGAACTCGTGATCCGCCTGCCTCGGCCTCCCAAAGTGCTGGGATTACAGGCATAAGCCACCGTGCCCAGCCGATAAATTTATTTATATTCTTGCTTAGCACAAGCCTAGACAAATAGAAAAGAGGCTGAACTAAGGCAGTACTTGTACAGTTGGAAAAAAAGGAATTAAAGCAGTGTTTCTCAAATTGTAGTCTGTATGCAAACCATTTGGAGGAACTGTTAAAACAGTTTGAGCTCCACCCCCTACAGTTTCTGAGTCAGAAGGTTTGAGGTAAGGTTCAAGAATCTGCACTTCTAACAACTGCACAGGTGACACACTGCTGGTTTCTAGAACCATGCTCTGAGGACTACTGGACTGAGCAAAATTTATAAACTGATGATGAACAAAATTATATGATACTGATGAACAAAAATTATAAACGGATGTTCATGTCCTATCTGGGCAACAGATATATGTCTGATCCAGTTTTGTTTTGTTTTTGAGACAGTCTTTCTCTGTTGCCCAGGCTGGAGTGCAGTGGTAATCATCTTGGCTCCCTGCAACTTCAGCCTGCCAGGTTCAAGCGATTCTCCTGCCTCAGCCTCCCAAGTAGCTGGGATTACAGGTGCCCGCCACCATGCCCGGCTAATTTTTCTATTTTTACCAGAGACAGCGTTTCACCATATTAGCCAGGCTGGTCTCGAACTCCTGACCTCAAGTGATCCTCCCGCTTCAGCCTCCCAAAGTGCTGAGATTACAGGTGTTAGCCACCGTGCCCGGCCTGATCCAGTTATTTTTTAACATGTTAATTCTAATAGCCACTACATTTACAACTATGAAGCTATGACTTCATAGTTTTATGAAGTTCATTATGAATTTTTAGAATGAGTATGAAGCTAGAGGAAATTACAGTGAAATTACTTAGTAATTTGTTTGGAGAAGGCCATTTTAAATCCAGAAATCAGACGGGGTGCAGTGGCTCTCTACTGTAATCCCAACACTTTGTGAGGCCGAGGTGGGAGGACTGTTTAAGCTCAGGGGTTTAAAACCAACCTGGGCATCACAGCAAGACCTGTCTCTACCAAAAATAAAATTAGCTGGGCATGGTGGTGTATGCCTGTAGTCCCAGCTACTCCAGAGACTGATGTGGGAAGATTGCTTGAGCCCAGGAGATAGAGGCTGCAGTGAGCTATGATCATACCACTATACTCCAGCCTGGGTGACAGAGCAAGACGCTGTTTCAAATAAATAAATAAGTAAACAAACCAGAAACTATAGGATATTGATAGATTCTACTCCATGTAATCCATTTCACAAAAGGTTAACTTAACAAATATACATAGAATCTTACAGTCAACAGGAAAAAAAAGCCCAATGGGAATAGATTAATGGATTTAATATAAACAAACACCAAAAAAACACAAACACTTGACCACCTGCTACTGCTCTTTTTTTTTTTTTTTTTTTTGAGACAGAATCTCGCACTGTGGCTCAGGCTGGAGTACAGTGGCATGATCTCAGCTCACTGCAAGCTCTGCCTTCCAGGTTCACGCCATTCTCCTGCCTCAGCCTCCCAAGTAGCTGGGACTACAGGCGCCCCCCACCATGCCCGGCTAATTTTTTTGTATTTTTGTAGAGATGGGGTTTCACCATGTTAGCCAGGATGGTCTCTATCTCCTCACCTCGTGATCCGCCCACCTCGGCCTCCTAAAGTGCTGGATTACAGGTGTGAGCCACCGCGCTTGGCCGCTCATTCTTAAGAGAATCAAGGCCGGGTGCGGTGGCTCAAGCCTGTAATCCCAGCACTTTGGGAGGCCGAGGCGGGTGGATCATTTGAGGTCAAGAGTTCAAAACCAGTCTGACCAACATGGTGAAACCCTGTCTCTACTAAAAATACAAAAAATTAGCCAGGCGTGGTGGCGGGCACCTGTAGTCCCAGCTACTCGGGAGGCTGAGGCAGGAGAATGGCGTGAACTTGGGAGGCAGAGCTTGCAGTGAGCTGAGATTGCGCCACTGCACTCCAGCCTGGGGGACAGAGCGAGACTCCGTCTCAAAAAAAAAAAAAAAAAAAAAGAATGCTTTACCCATCAAATAGTCAAAGATAGGGTTAAGGAGAAATTGGTGCTCCCATACATTGCTAACAGAAATTCAAGGCTAGGCAGGGTAGCTCATGGCTATAATCCCTGCATTCTGGAAGGCAAAAGGACTGTTTGAGGCCAGGAGTTCAAGACCAGGCTAAGCAACAAAATGAGACCCTTTCTCTATTTCAAAAAATTAATTTAAAAAAAAAGAAGTGTAGGCTGGGCATGGTGGCTCACGTCTATAATCCCAGAACTTTGGGAGGCCGAGGTAGGTGGATCACCTGAGGTCAGGAGTTGGAGACCAGTCTGGCCAACATGGTGAAACCTCATCTCTACTAAAAATACAAAAATTAGCCAGGTATGGTGGCAGGCACCTGTAATCCCAGCTACTCGGGAGACTGAGGCAGGAGAATCACTTGAACCCTGGAAGTGGAGGCTGTGGTGAGCCAAGATCTCGCCAGTGCACTCCAGCCTGGGCAACAGAGTGAGGCTTGGTATGACTACAGTCATGCGCAACCACGTCTGGCTTATTTTTGTATTTTTTAGTAGAGACGGGGTTTTGCCATGTCAGTCAGGCTGGTCTTGAACTCCTGGCTTCAAGTGATTCACCCGCGTTGGCTTCCCACAGTGTTGGGATTACCAGCGTTTGAGCCACAGCACCTGGCCTTTTTTTTTTTTTTGAGATGGAGTCTTGCTCTAAGGCTAGAGTGCAGTGGCACAATCTCGAGTCACTACAACCTCCGCCTCCCGGTTTCAAGCCATTACAGGCGCCCACCACGCTAATTTTTGTAAACTGTCGTCTCAGCTACTTGGGAGGCTGATGCACAAGAATCGCTTGCACCTGGGAGGCAAAAGTTGCAGTAAGCCAAGATCAGGCCACTACACTCCAGCTTGGGCAACAGAACACGACTCTTTCTCAAAAAAAAAACCAAAAATAAAAAATAAATAAATTATATATAGATACATAAAAAAGAAAAAACTCAAGACAAACCTCATGGCCTAGAAATGTTGAATAATTAACAAAATGTATGTAATCAATGCATAAAATATATGTAGGTACTAGTCTATCTTATTTACTACCATAAAATGCACACAAATTATAAAATGTTAAAATTTGTCAAAATACACAGACCATACACGGCACCATCCACAGTTGAGATATGTAAATGAACAAAGATGCAGTATTAAATCATAACTGTGGCCAGGCACAGTGGCTCACACTGAGATGGGCGGATCACCTGAGGTCAGTAGTTCGAGATCACCCTGGCCAACATGGCAAAACCCCAAAAAATTAGCCAGGTGTGGTGTTGCACACCTGCAGTCCCAGCTACTTGGGGGTCTGAGGCAGGAGAATTGCTTCAACCTGGGAGGCGGAAGTTGCAGTGAGCGGAGATTATGCCACTGCACTCCACCCTAGGTGACAAAACTCCCTCTCAAAAAGAAAAAAAAAGAAAAAAAAAGAAAAAAAAACCGAGAACTAGTTAGAAAGCTAAGAATGACAGGATTAATTTAACATTTAGATATACATCACCTTAAACAATACTGTTTTAATGGCATGAGGGGACAAAAGCCAACCTAAGACTTTTTGCAGATGACAAAACTGTGGTCCAAGATCACTACTGAAACAATGAAGCTAGTATCAAAGCCAACTGTAAGCCAGGTGAGGTGATGCATACCTGTAGTCCCAGCTACCCAGAAGGCTGAGGTGGAAGGATTGCTTGAGACTAGGAGTTGGGAATCCAGCCTGGGCAACACAGTAAGATCCCCATTTCCTAAATTTAAAAAACCTGAACTGAGGTTTATTTCTCATTCAATTTTTTTTTCTTTCTACTGGTTCGGAAGTTATATTTATTCTTTCAATGTTTATCCTCGAAGTATAATGTACATTCTTATCTAAAGTCTAAATTCAAGTCATTTTCTTTAACCTACCCTTAAACATGAGGACCTTATAAACTTTACTTCTAAATGTCCCCACTAACTTACTTAACTGAGGCACATGCTTTCATTGTTCTCTCACACTAATTAGATGGGGAAACGAGGGAATGAAATGAAAATACCAGCCAGGCTTGGTGGCTCACGCCGGTAACCTCAGCACTTTCAGAGGCCCAGGTGGGTGGATCCCTTGAGCCTAGGAGTTGGGAGACCAGCTTGGGCAACATGGTGAAACCCGTCTCTATAAAACAAATACTAGAATCAGCTGGGTCTTGTGGTGTGCGCCTGTAATCCCAGCTACTCAGGAGGCTGAGGTGGGAGAATCACTTGAGCCCAGGAGGTAGAGGGTGCAGTGGGCGATGATGGCATCACTGCACTCCAGCCTGGGTGACAGAGACCCTGCCCCCTACCACAGACACACACACACACACACACACACCCAGCACATATAATAGCTCAGTTTTAGCTTTCAATTTATGGTGTGAGGAACTACTTAAATGGTTTGCTTTCTTGTAGCCACATATAAACTTTCTGTACGTATAACCTGCCAGGAAGCTGAGACTAAGTTCACTAATGACCTAACTCTGGCAAGACACAGGGGACCTGCAAGAGATATTTGTTGCATACTTTTATCTCAAAAAAATAAAAATAAAAATAAAAAAACACATACACACACCTGGTCCTGCGCAGTGGCTCACACCTGTAACCCCAACACCTTGGGAGACCAAGGCGGGAGGACTGCTTGAGCCCAAGAGTCTGAGACCAGCCTGGGCAACATCAAGACCCTGTATCTACAAAAACTTAGCCAGGCGTGGCGACTGTAGTCCCAAGCTACTAGGGAGGATCACTTGAGCCCAGGAGTTCGAGGTTGCAGTGAGCTATGACCACAACACTGCACTCTAGCCTGGATATGAGAGCCAGACCCTGTCTGCAAAAACAAAACAAAAACACACACCTGTCAGTGAAATACTGACTGCCAGAGCTATCCAGGAAACATTATAAAAAGGAGCTCTTTTTATAACAGCTATAGTACGACTCTCAAGCCCAATCTATACTGCTCATATCGAATCAATGGCGAAAGAGGCAGGTAATGGGAGTTTGAAATTAAAATTATATTTCCCATGAGTTCCCAGATGATTGTCAGGGTGACTTGAGAACCACTGCTCTACAAGAATGCAGAGAAAACAAAAGGTGGTAAGCAAAGATGTAAGTAAATCTCTAACTATAAGCAAACTAAGACATAATCATGACAGAGTGTAAGCCTATAGAATATCAATTTAAAAAACTTCACAGCAACCATTCCGTTCACAGGGAAGGCAGCTAACCTCTAAAGCGCACAAGATTAGAAAAAGAAAAAAAAACAGAACCAGATCACTAAAAAAAATAAGGCAAGATTGGGAAATCAGACCTACTGTATGGGAAACAGTACTTGTTTTCTTGAACTCATGTAGTGTTTCCCTCCACTGTTCAAAAAATAGATTACGCCTGAGTGGCACTGTGCTGCTTTCAAAGCAA